TCACTATATTGGACTCTTCCTAACTGAACAATTAAATATAATATTGCTAACAGTTGTAATAGTCCTTCTTTTCAGTTCTAAACGTGTGCCTCCATAGCTCAGTGGTTAGAGCACTGGTCTTGTAAACCAGGGGTCGTGAGTTCGATCCTCACTGGGGGCTTGCTCTTTTACACTGTTTTCTACCACCTTATAAATAACGTTCACTCCACCAGCTTATTTGTTTGGTTCATGTGTTTATCACTTAGGTATGCATTTCTGTCTGAATGTGGGTTCCATTTTTTTTTTTTTTATATCACATTCTCTGCATTCAATTTTCACCAAGCATAAAGGAATGAATTGAAAGTTTCACCAAATGTTTTGTACAAAAGCTACAATTTATTAACCAGCGTGACATAATACTCTTAAAAATATAACTAATGATATAAAACAACTAGATAATTTTAAGGAAAACAAATATAGTAATTAATTTTGTAATAAATCTAATTCGAGTCAAATCATTTTATACTCAAATTCAGATTTTTGTTTTATAAGTAATTTCATTATAACCAAACAAGATTATTTCATCACTATTGGCAAAATGCTTTAAGAGGAGACATTCTCTTAAATACTTTACATGATAACAGACCTACTGCATTCATACCTGTTTTAATTGATACATAAATGAACGTGTCCGTTAATACTTTATTTTAAAGCGAATTCCCTGCGAAGGGTTCGAACCTGCGCGGGCCCATGCCCATTGGATATCAAGTCCAACGCCTTAACATATCGACCATCACTGCTGTATAATTATAAACTTATATATTACTTTTATCATACTAAAGCATATTATTTACTCAATTAATAATATTAAGATACAATGTGACTTCTATTTAGCCTACTGTCTTTGAAATACTATGTAAATGAATACCAGATAATCATAAAGTAATAGGTTAATGAATTGTATTAGTTAAAATATCATATTGACTTGTGAAATCACTATAAGTATATAACCTGCGCGGGCAATGCCCATTGGATTTCAAGTCCAACGCCTTAAAGTAACATTAAATAAATTTCATAAAAACAGAAATAGCGACATTTCATTAATAAATATGGGTTTCATATCGACTCCAGATCTTATTTTGGTGTCCAGACAACCAAAATGAGTTTTATAAGCATAAAAAAATGAACAACCTCATTGTGGCGAAATCGGAAGTACAATATCTGTTTGCATGATAAACTCCGCCTTCAAATCATCCGTACATCAATATTAAATCAACAAACATGACAATGTAGCAGTCCTAATTTAACGGTATATTTTCGCATTGTAACGGATGTTTTTATACAAATTCAATCTTTTTTATGAGATGATTACTTTTTACTGAACCTCAGGCCTAGTGCACCGTGAAGTTAAACGGTTAAAATGTGTTTGCACAAGAAAATCTCATATTTGAGCTGCTATAACACTGTGACGTAGCGCATACACAAGCTGATTATAATCCTCATTTGCATGTTAAAATTCGTATACGAACTTTAGTGTTACCGTGGGGTTTTCCGTTTAAAATCCTTATTTATGAACAATATTTGATGGGATTTACAACAATACTGTTAAAAAGGTTAATGGAACTGTAGAATGCTTGGTTTTTTAGGCTGACGGCAAAAATATTTTTACATATTTATTTAATGTAACTTTAACCACTAGGCCATCACAGTTATATATATTTACAATTATGATATATTAACTGATACCAGGTATTTATTCAATGACTGTTAACTGATACAATACAACTACATAGAAGTCACATCGTATCTAAATATTCTGATGTCTTACGGAAGAAATACGATTTAGTATTATAATAATAATAATAATGATAATTTCATATCATAACTAATGCAAAAGAAACTTTTCCTGCACACAATATTAATACCGATAAAAATTCACACTAAATTTTATTTAACAAAATTAAATTTAATCTTCAACTGTGCAAAACAATAAATTGTTAAAATAAAAATATGATTTCAATTTTTATAGTCTGTATATAATAAGAGATTCCATATTTTATACGTTTTTGTAAATGTTCTGAACTTATAGGTGAAAAGCGTGCAGTTAATGAGCGTACATATTCGGCTTTTAATTACATTTTACATAGTAAGTGGGTTATTTTTATGGATTTTCTCATTAAATTATGTCAGAGCACTTACGGAAGGTGGCTGGTCTTGAGTGTTGGTTTCCTACTACGTCCCCCTCCCACGATGGAGTAGGGTTGCGCAGCCGACTCGCAGCATATCTGACAGGGAAAGTACGTTCATAACTGTGTGTTTTCCATGTTAATGTTCATAATAAAGATATGAGATTATTGTAAAGAAAGTCATTTTAGCATTACAATAGATTTATGGAAACGTTGAGATGTTAATGTCATGTATGCTTTCTAAGAACATGTATTAGTAATGTAAATATACGGCAATGCAAGATAACAAATCCTAAATGTGAATTTATGGATTTGTTGTTCTTTCTTCCTTCGATTGCCTTTATTATGGGATAAATAATTTATTTTCGTTTGAGCGTAGCGAATTAGGAAATAAAAATAGTTTCCTTCAATTAAAATGACGCAATAATGCAGATAAAATTACACACTACCCTGATTAACGGTTAAACTAAATAAGGCTATATTACATGTACTTCATAAGGCTTCGTGGCGCAACGGTAGCGCGTCTGACTCCAGATCAGAAGGTTGCGTGTTCGAATCACGTCGAGGTCATATATTTTGTTCACATTTTTTCAACGAAAGGAAAAAAGTTGTATCTTTAACCAGCAAGTTTAATAGGTTACAAGACGTGTTGGCTTTGCTCTACTTTAGGACAATAGACTATTTAGAGATATGTTACTTTGAATCTATTGATTTGTTAGTTAATACAATATGAAAAAAACTTGTTTAGTGGGAAAAGCACACACACACATGAACAATACACAAGTTATCAATTATGGCAAGGTAAAAATCTACAAAAAGTAAAACACCAATCGAACAAATTGTTATCACCTCTTTTACATAGTAACGTATGCCTCCATAGCTCAGTGGTTAGAGCACTGTTCTTGTAAACCAGGGGTCGTGAGTTCGATCCTCACCCCTTTTTAAACTAACAAAACTGCATCGCTTGTTTTTTTGTATATATTTTTAGAAAATATTTAAAAAATAAAAATTTATTACCAAAAACAAAAATATTTCACAACTATTCAAACTGCTTAAAGAATGTTTTTCCCCAATTCTTTTAAATGATGGTCCAGCTCCTTTATAATGTCCAGTTGATAAAAAAAAAGTGGTTTCCAGAAAGGGTTTCCCAAAAAAAATCGCTGCGAGCAGGGTCGAACCTGCGCGGGGAATGCCCATTGGATTTCAAGTCCAAAAGCCTTAACCACCCGGCACACAGCATACAAATTTATGATATTAAAATTTAAAATGAAAATAAATTTCTATTATTTTATTTATTAATGAATATTAACGAAAAAAAAATAAAACAAAATAAAATTTTGATGTTTACGAAGAAAAACGATTAAGTATTAAAATTAATAATGTTTCCATATCATTAGTAATGCAAAAGAAACTTTTCCTGCACACACTATTAATACCGATACAATTCACACTAAATTTTATTTAAGATAATTAAATTTAAGCTTCAACTGTGCAAAACAATAAATTGTTAAAATAAAAATAGTTTTTAAAAAGTGAAAATGAACATTTACATGACAAACTTTAAAAGAAAATTCTTTTGTTGTAATGAAAATGTAAAATGTATTAATTAAATAACTTGTACAACCCTCGTACAATAATGGTACGACCGAATAATGTAAAGGTGTCCGATTTCGTGGCCATATCGTAAGCTAAATATTATTCAATACGGTCGTTTTCTTATAGATCTTAATTTTTGTTCTTTTTTAAACATGTATTTAAAAGATAATTAAAGTAATTAACGCTGCGAGCAGGATTCAAACCTGCGCGGGCAATGCCCATTTGATTTCGAGTCAATGGCCTTATCTACTCGGCAATCACATCTAATGTTGTTATAAGTAACATATTTAATTGATATTCATATCTATACCAAAATAATAATTATAATAATTCAAATTTATTATAAACCACAAGTAACGATAGGTTACTTCAATTAAAAATGACGCAATAATACAGATCAAATTACACACTAGGCTATATTACATGTACTTGTAACATTAAATAAGGCATACCATTCATACGGCTTCGTGGCGCAACGGTAGCGCGTCTGACTCCAGATCAGAAGGTTGCGTGTTCGAATCACGTCGAGGTCATATATGTTTTCCCTTTTTTTTCAACGAAAGAAAAAAGTAGTATCTTTTACCAGCAAGTTGAAAAGGTTACAGGAAGTGTTGGTTTAGTTCTACTGTAAGACAATAGACTATTTAGAGATATGTAACTTTGAAAACATTAATTTATTTCTATTTATTTGTTAATTGATACAATATGAAAAAAAAATATACTTATTTAGTGAAAAACAAACACACTAAAACATTCACAATGGGCCAGGCCCGAAGCTCTTAGTAAGTAACAATTAATACAAGATAAAATGCTTTAAAAAATTTATTGCAATCAGTTTGTAATAATACCTCTATTAACCCCTAAGGGCTTGGTGCCTCCATAGCTCTGGGGGTGGTTAAAGAGCACTGGGTCTTTGTAAACCAGTGGGGTCGTGAGTTTCGAATCGCCTCAACTGTAAGGGGCTTGCTTTTTAACATAATTTTACTACCGAACCTGGCAGGCGCTTGGATTGTAATTTTGGGTATGATATGATTTAAAAAAAATATTTAAAAAAGAAAAAAAATTTATATAAAAAACCAAACGAAACTATTTAATCACTAATGTCAAAACTGCTTTAAGGAGAGATTTCGCCTTAATTACTTTACATGATGTCTGGTACCCAACTGGCAATTCATAACTGTTTCAGTTGATAACAATAAAAAAGGTTTTTCCGATGATTGTTTTATCTAAAAATAAGTTCGCTGCGAGCAGGGTTCGAACCTGCGCGGGCAATGCCCCATTGGATTTCAAGTCCAACGCCGTAATTATTAAGCCACTCGGCCATCACAGCTATAATTAATTTTTACAAATTATGATATATTAACTGATATCAGGTATTTTATTCATGTAGTATTGCAATGACTGTTAACTGATACAAATAACAACTACAATATGAAATCACAATCGTATCTTAATAGAGATTCTGAATTTCTTAAACGGAAGAAATATCGATTTTAGTAATTAATAATAATTTTAAAATAATAATTAAATAGGTTTTTCATATCATAACTAATGCCAGAAAAAGAAACTTTTTCCCCTGCAACACAATAATTAATACCCAGGGAGATAAAAATTCTCACTAAATTTTATTTAACAAAATTAAATTAAATCTTCAACTGTGCAAAACAATAAATTGTTAAAATAAAAATAGTTTTTAAAAAGTGAAAATGAACATTTACACGACAAACTTTAAAAGAAAATTCTTTGTTGTAATGAAAATGTAAAGTGTATTAATTAAATAACTTGTACAACCCTCGTATGAAATAATGGTACGTCCCGAAAAATGTAAAAGGTGTCTGAATTTTCGTGGTCCACATAAGTTAGCTAAATATTTAGTTCAATATTCCGTTTTCTTTATAGATCTTAAAAATCTTTTTTTTAAAACATGTGGTTTAAAAGAATTAATTAAAAAGAATGGATACGCAATGGCGAGCAAGGAGTCGAACCTGCGCGGGCAATGTTCCCGTTTTGATTTCGAGTCAAATGCCTTATTCTAACTCAGCCATTTAACAAAAACTGTTGTTATTAAAGTAACATATTTTATTGATATTAAAATCTACACCAATATAATAAAATTATAATAATTTCAATATATATATTAAAACCACTAGTAAAGTCGTATTTATACCCATTATCTCATGCGTAATATAAATAGTTTCCTTCAATTAAAATGACGCAATAATACAGATCAAATTACAAACTACCCTTGATTAACGGTTAAGCTATATAGGGCTAATATATGTTGTAATTTGTAAACATTAAATGGCTTCGTGGCGCCAACGGTAGCGCGTCTGACTCCAGATCAGAAGGTTTGCGTGTTCGAATCAACGTCGAGGTCATACTTTTTGTTAACTTTTTTTTCAAATGAAAGAAAAAACGTAGTATCTTTTACCAGCAAGTTAAATAGTTTTTTACAAGAAGTGTTGGTTTATGCTCTACTTTAAACAATAGACTATTTAGAGATAGGTAACTTTGTAAACATGAATTGATTTCTATTAATTTGTTAGTTTGATACAATTATGAAAAAAAACTTATTTAGTGAAAAAACACACACAAACATGCACAATGCACAAATAAACAATTGATACAAGGTAAAATCTTTAAGAATATTGTTATCAGTTGTAATAATACCTCTTTTACCTTCTAAACGTGTGCCTCCATAGCTCAGTGGTTAGAGCACTGGTCTTGTAAACCATGGGTCGTGAGTTCGATCCTCACTATTTATTACCAAACCGCATGCGCTTGTTTGTTTTGGTATATATGTTTTAAAGAAAAATATTTTAAGAATAAAATTTTATTAAAACCAAACAAAACTATTTCATCATATTGGCAAAACTGCTTAAAGAGAAATATGTTCCCTTACTTACCTTTAATATGATGTGGTTCAAGCTGCCTTCAAAAACTGTCACAGTTTGATACATAAAAGTAGGTTTCAAGACGATGTTTTCCAAAAAAATAAATTCGCTTTGCGAGCAGGGTTCGAAACCTGCCGCGGGAATACCCATTGGGAATAATTTATAAGTCCAACAAGCCTTAACCACTCGGGCCATCCCCAGCTGTAAACATTTATTTAAAATCAAAAAGAATGATAAAATTAACTAAATTATCTAGTTTTTATTTAATATAGGAAATTACGGGAAAAACTGAAAAAAAAATTTTAATAGAAGACCCCATGGGTATTTTAATATTCTGATGTTTTTACGAAAAAATAAAAAATTAAGAAATTTTTAATAAAATTAAATAAATAAAATAATTTCAAAATCTTTGGGTTTAAGGAAAAAAGAAATTTTTTCCTGTACTGAAACACAATTTTAAATTTCCCGGGGATAAAAATTCACCAAAATTATTTTTATTTAAAAAATTAAAATTTAAAACCCCTTTCAACGGGGGGTTAAAAAACTTTTAAAATTTTTAAAAAAAAAATAGATTTTTAAAAAAGAGTTAAAATGAACATTTACGTAACGAACTAAAAAAAAATTATTTCTTTGATGTTGTTATGAAAAATGTAAAATGTATTAATTAAATTACTTGTACAACCCTCGTACAGTAATGGTACGACCGAATAATGTAAAGGTGTCTGATTTCGTGTCCACATAGTTAGCTTTCTGTTTATGATAGACACAAAACCGAGGAAAATAGGACTGAAATGTTGCGTTTAAAATGTGTGTTTAAAATGTTAGTAAAACGTAAAAGAAAAAAAATCGAATGTGAAAAAATAAAACGAATTGAAAATTTACGTCATTCAAAACCAAAAGACTTTTGGAAGTTTTTTTTTCGTAGAAAAAATGAGAATGGAAGTGGCACATTAACTGTAGATGATTTTTTGAAATATTTTTCAAGTTTACAAAATGAATTTCAAACCCCTGTGAATAATGAAGCTGAGGAATTTTGTTCAGAATATGATTTTGATGGCAAATAGGTGTAGTTTTGAAAAGAGTTAGATAAGTCAATCACAACTACTGAAGTCGAATTTATTGTTAAAAAACTAAAAAGAAATAAAGCTTGTGGTAGTGATAATTTATTAAATGAATACTTTATAGAATGTTTTATGATATACTTTCGGCACATTTGGTAGATATTTTTAATGCAGTTTTGAATTCTGGACATTTTCCATAATCTGATTTGGTTCTAACGGTATTATAGTGCCTATTTTTTAAAAAGAACGACCCATGGCGATGTACGGAATTATAGAGGCATCACACTTGTTAGTTGTCTATCGAAAAATGTTACTACTTGGAATTTTAAATAAACGACTGAATGAATGGTCCGAAAAAAATGATATACTAAGCGATGCTCAATTTGGTTTTTTCGCAAGGGTCGTTCTATCGGTAGATGCAGCATTTGTATTAAACGCTATTGTACATAAGATTTTAAATGAAAATAAACGTTTGTATTGTTGTATGGTTGATATGAAAAAGAGCATTTGATAGTGTGTATTTAAAAGGCCTATTGCTAAAATTGCATAAGTTAGGTATTGATGGAAAATTATTTAGAATATTAAGGGACATGTATTCACAAGTTAAAGTTTGTATCAAGGGTTGTAACTCATATTCGGACTATTTTGAGTGTGCTGTAGGCTAAAACAAGGAGAGGTTATGTCCCCTTTATTGTTCTCATTATTTGTTGATGATCTTGAGCTATTTTTAAAAAGAGGGCATGACAGTGGTTTAACCTTAGATGATATTACTTTTATTCTAATGCTTTTTGCAGACGACATGGTTATTTTAAGTGACACTGTTTGCGATCTTCAAAATAGTCTAGATTTATTATATACATACTGTAACAAATGGGGCCTAGAAGTAAATACCCTCAAAACAAAAATAATTGTTTTTAGGAAAAGAGGTCACATAAAGCAAAATGAGCATTGGACATATAAATAATGAAAACATAGAAATAGTTGATAATTTTAATTACCTTGGGATTGTTTTTAACTATACGGGTACATTCATATTAAACCAAGAAACATTGGCTGGTAAAAGGCCTTAAGGCCCTTAATATTTTGATGCATAATATAAAAGGATTAAATCTTAAAACCTAGTGTTATATGCCAACTTTTTGATGCTTTTGTAACAGCTACTCTTAATTATGGCTGCGAAATTTGGGGATTCAGTAAGTCAAAAGAAATTGAACGGGTCCATCTGAAATTTTGCAAAATGTTATTAAATGTTAAATCTTGTTGTACAAATATGGGTGTGTATGGTGAATTAGGAGGACGCTATCCGCTTTACATTAACAGATATGTACGCATTATTAAATTCTGGTGTTAAAATTGTATCGTCTACAAATATATTATTAAACAGATTATATGATAATTTTTGTAAATGTAATGTTATCAAAAATAACTGGGGCATATCAAGTTAAAAGTATTTTTGGACTGCTATGGTTTTTCATATGTTTGGAACAACCCATCCTGTGTTGATCTAGGTAAATTTCATCTACTTTTTAAAAGCTCGACTAATTGATACTTTTAAACAAAACTGGTTTCAACGATTGCAAGAATGTGAAACATTATTATGTATAAGCAATTTAAAACAGAATTTAGATTTGAACCATATTTAGATTTATTGCCATTCAAGTTTCGAAATGCTTTATCAAAATTAAGATTATCTTCACATAAACTGGCTATTGAAACTGGACGCTATTCTAGAAACAGAGTTGAACGAAATGAGCGTTATTGTATTTTTTGTCAAAACAGAGATATTGAAGATGAATACCATTTTGTTATATCATGTCCGTTGTACGAAGATATTAGAAAACAATATATCAAAGCATATTTTTATAGAAGACCAAATGTTATTAAATTTACAGAGCTGTTTAAGAGTGATAATCAAGCTATAATTAGAAATCTTTCCAAATTTATTTACAATGCTTTTATACTTAGAAAGTCTTTGCTATGTTAACTTTGCCAATTTTATGGAAGGAATTTACTTCACTTTGATTTTGTTTATGATATTGATTCATATATATGTAAACATCTTATTCATCCTCCACATGATGTCCTAATTTATAAATTAAACAATATGTTGACAATGTAAATTGTGTTCACTGTTTGTTAAATCACATGATAAAATTATGATATTTATGTATATGCAATTGTATGACAAAAAACTGTACTGTTTACGTCAATAAAATTATCTATCTATCTATCTATCTATCTTAATATTAGTCAATACTTTCGTTGTCTTATAGATCTTAAAAATCTTTCTTTTTTAAACATGTGTTTAAAAGATTAATTAAAATAATTAACGCTGCGAGCAGGATTCGAACCTGCGCGGGCAATGCCCATTTGAT